CTCGGTCCACACGTTCCCGTATTGCAAGTGGCGTGCCGTCGACCAGTCTTGCATCGATCTCAGTGGCAGTCGCAGTTTTCGTGCTGTGGCAGTGTTGATAAGGCTGTGGCTGGCCCCTCCGTCTTCGAATATTTTAACTAAGTCAGTCCCGATTTTCCCACTAAGCAGTATAGGGCTGTCTACCGTAGTACCCTCCTTATCCGGCTGGGTGTGGTCGATTGCGTGAACCGGCACAATCACTCGGTGAGGGTCGGTTGGGTCGGGCGAGCGGCGTGACCTGTCAGTAGAGGGCCCGTCTGCTACTGACTCCCAGCGTTTCCCTGCTGCTTGGTCTGTCTCTGTTGCTCAGCTTCCCCCTTTCCCTTAGCATTTTCCGGACATTCGCTTTTACGGTGTCCCGGCCGATTGCACGCAAAGCAGCGCCCTTTGAATGGTGCGGCAGCGGCATTTGCGGCGACGGCACGTATCGTAGCGCTTTCGTTCGTCCCACGAGGTCGATGTCCCCAATTGCTGCTTCTGTAGGACCCTGGTCTCGATCGGCGGAAGAAATCGAGTTTCTCCGCCATGGCGAGAATCTCCTGAAAATCGGTGACGCCGCGAAGCTGGATTTCCTGAGCGATGTCCTGCTTCAGGCCGCCGATGTAGCGGTCGATGCGTTCGCACTTGTGCGTATAACCTACTTGCTCGCATAGCGCCAGAAACCCGCTCGTCTAGTCTTGGACGGAACCGAGTTGGCGCCAAGTGCGGAGCCTCTGTCGCGCCGCGATCGAAGCCGCAATTGGCTCGAAACGAGCGCGCAGACCTGCGCACCACGCGTCCCACGTGCGATACTGGGGCACCTCCACGAAATACGACGGCGCCCAGGGTTCGGTTTGTCCTTCCCGTGTCGGTAGAGCCGGCCCACCGGCTTCGTGACGATGACACACCACCAGGGTCCTCGCAGCAACGACACGGCGTAACGAATCTTCGCCGTATCCTCCGAGACGTAGTTCGCGTCGAAGAAGACGTTTAACGTGAAAAGCCACGCCTGAACGGTAGGACCACCCCGCTGACTCGGGTCAAAACATGGCGGACGCTGCGGCTTTAGCGGCATCGGCGACGGTAGAGCTGATTCGCCGGCCGGCACTGAAATCGTGACTCGAGGCTGATTCCTGGCCGCATTCGTTGCATCGGGGTGTGTCGTGCCGTGGTCGTCGTCTCCGTCATGGCGGACGACGCCATCACTTGTGGCGCTCGCGGGGTTGCCCCACACTTCCGTGTCAGAATGTTATTGTATACATCACTTTATAACTGCCTGCAATGTAGACTTAGTGTAGTTACCTTGCTTGTTAGGTGGTGCACCTTGCTTCACTTCTTTCATATTTGTACCCTTGAACCTATAGTGAAACCCTCATTCCCCTTCACAACTTTCTCGACACTCTCCTCACCCTCGAACTTAACTACCAAGGCTCCTAAGCTATGGCTCCCAAGCCCACCTAACTCTACCTACTTCTCTCACATGGAATCAGAGCGACTACGCTCTTGGCCTGTGGGCCCCACGTGCTTCCGCTGCTTTCTTTTCTGTCGCGCGCCCCGTGGCGCGCGACACTTTTTTCTTCCCGCCACGCGCTCGGGGCGCGTGGCGGTTTTCCGCACGCCGTGCGCCCCGGACGCGCGGACGCCGCCCTTCTCGGCCCCTCACGGCCTCTTCGCGGCCCCGTCGCTGCTCCTCTCACGGCCCCTCGCGCTACCCTCAGTGGCCCCGTCGCCACACTTCGCGGCCCTGTCGCCGCCCCATCTCGGCACCGTCGCCGCCTTTAGCGGCCCCGTTGCCGCCCCTAGCGGCCCCGTCGCCGCTCTTCGCGGCCCCGTTGCCGCCCCTAGCGGCTCCGTTGCCGCCCCTTGTGGCCCTGTCACCTGCTCGTTGCGGCGCACCCCCCCCTGGCCGCCGCCTCTGCCTCCCTTGCGCCCGTGCCTGCTTTGCAGCAGCGCGCGGGCCTGCCTTGCAACAGCAGCCGCCCCTGGAGCAGCCACCCCAGCAGCAGCCGCCCCAGCAGCAGCCGCCCCTGGAGCAGCCGCCGCTGCAGCAGCCGCCCCTGGAGCCGCCGCCCCTGGAGTAGCCGTCACTGCAGCAGCCGCCCCTGGAGCCGCCACTGCAGCAGCAGCCCCTGGAGCAGCCGCCCCAGCAGCAGCCGCCCCTGGAGCAACCGCCGCTGCAGCAGCCGCCCCTGGAGCAGCCGTCACTGCAGCAGCCGCCCCTGGAGCCACCACTGCAGCAGCAGCCCCTGGAGCAGCCGCCACTGTAGCAGCCGCCCCAGCAGCCGCTACCCCTGCAGCAGCCGCCCCTGAAGCGGCCGCCCCTGCAGCAGCCGCCCCTGGAGCAGCCCGCAACTGCAGCAGCCGCCCCTGGAGCAGCCTGCACCTGCAGCAGCCGCCCCTGGAGCAGCCCTCAACCGCAGCAGCCGCCCCTGGAGCAGCCCGCACCTGCAGCAGCCGCCCCTGGAGCAGCCCGCAACTGCAGCAGCCGCCCTTGGAGCAGCCTGCACCTGCAGCAGCCGCCCCTGGAGCAGCCCTCAACCGCAGCAGCCGCCCCTGGAGCAGCCCGCACCTGCAGCAGCCGCCCCTGGAGCAGCTAGCAACTGCAGCAGCCGCCCCTGGAGCAGCCCGCACCTGCAGCGGCCGCCCCTGGAGCAGCCCGCACCTGCACCCCGTCCCGTTCCCCCCCCCCCCCCCCCGTGCATTCCGTGGTGCTGGGGGTGTGGGGTGCCGAGCATGGGGGTGGCGGGTGTGGGGGTGGCGGTTATATGTTCCTCCCCTTGCTCCTCCTCCTCCCTCGTCTCCCACTGCTGCAGCTGTCGCTGAGGGGGGTGGGTGTGTGGGAGCCTAGGGTTTAGGGTTTAAGGGGGGTGTTGTGGGAGTGGAGCTAGGGTTTGAACAGGGAGTGTGTGAGAGGGGAGTGGGGCAGCTGGGGGAGGTTGTGTGAAGGTAGCTGTCGTGTCGCCTGCAGCGCCTGTAGTCCGTCGCCCTTGCTTCGGTAGCCAGTGAGCCTGTTGCACCAGTCGCCAGTGGGTCCGTTGCTCCTGCCGCTCGTCTATAGCCGCGGAGCCAGTCACTCCAGTAGTCCGTCGCCCTTGCTTCGGTAGCCACTGAGTCAGCCGCTCCTGTGCCCGTGCCTCTGCAGCTTTAGTCGTTGCCTCGCATCTTCTCTTCCTCCACAGTCTCTCCTCCTCATTTGCCCTCTCTGTCTGCTGCGCTCTACTTGGTGTACCCCTTCCGGGGGTGTTTCTGCACATGGTTCTTCACTGCAGGCAGTTAGGGGGTGTGTCAGAATGTTATTGTATACATCACTTTATAACTGCCTGCAATGTAGACTTAGTGTAGTTACCTTGCTTGTTAGGTGGTGCACCTTGCTTCACTTCTTTCATATTTGTACCCTTGAACCTATAGTGAAACCCTCATTCCCCTTCACAACTTTCTCGACACTCTCCTCACCCTCGAACTTAACTACCAAGGCTCCTAAGCTATGGCTCCCAAGCCCACCTAACTCTACCTACTTCTCTCACATTCCGTGTTGCGATGTCTGTGGTGCGGGCTAAATCGGAATGCCAGGTGCTTGGAATTGTGCTCGTGCGAGGTCATTTTGCAGGGAGGTACGTTCCGCCGTTAATGCTGCGATTTCTTCGGAGTTTTCGTGCAGTTGTCGCAGCAGCTCGTCCAGGCAGTCCTGCGTGAGGTTAGTGACGTCAAGATGCTCTGCCATTCCGAATGGCGTCGGCTCGTCTTAGTCTAGGCGCTGTCGTGGCTGCACGCATTTACGAGAGAACGCGATGACAGCGGCTCCTAGGTGCTAAGGTGCGTGAGTCCCTTCGAGTGAAAAATCAAAAGTTGATTTCCTGGGGTGCGGAGATGCGCGGTCCGAAAAGAAAGAGGCTCTGATACCAAGTGTTACGGGTGCAATGAATCGAAGTAGCGAGAATTGCACTAAGGTGTCAAACGAGTACAAAATGTGAGCTAAGGCATGAGCGAACATTTATACGCGAAACATGCAAACGGTAACGCGGTGCGTGCGAGCTAGCTAGTGCTATGCTGGAAGCGAGGCTCGGGCTAGTTCCGAAGCGTAGGCCGACACGGCCGGGCCAGCGGTGCGAGGTTTGGTGAAAACAGTGCGCGCGAAGTCGGCGAAGCCCCGTTAGCAGTAACGGGCGAACAACGGCTGCTGCTATACGCGATGTTGTAGGGCGCGCTAAGGAATATCGAGAAAATTCCTTACACTTGGTCAGATGATTTGTATGTGTTACTGTACCAGCATGTCTTCACCTGCCCACTAGTTGCGACGTTGGCGAGGCAGGCGAAAGCATGAGCTAGATTGAGTCCATTTGAGTGTAACAGAGTTAGTGCTCGATTACGTGCATCGTTGTACTAAGGGCGCGTGTGTTTTAGCGTAGACGTTCGGAAAAAAGTTGAACTTTTGCTGGTAACCTGTTTCGTTAAGCTCGCGAAACTACTCGCGACGAAATCGTGTGTCCTAGTTCAAACTGTGTGAAAGAAGTTGGACACTGAACTAAAGTCGACCTGCGTTCGGAATTTTTCGTTTACATTTATCCAATCGTGTGTCCTTCTGCGCACGTACGAAATTTCACGAATTCCACGACAGTAACGAGGTACAACATACCTGGTTACTGAAGCCGGATTCGGTGACGAAACGCACCGCCCTACCAGGTAACCTACGAGAGTGTAGCGCTTCTCGAGTTTTACTGTTTAGAGTTGAACTTCGATAGTCGAACTCCTGTGTGCCGTGTGATACATGTGAAGCGAGGAACAGCGGCTCGAGCAAAATGAATCTATATATTCGAGCCGAGGTCGACCTAGGTTCAAATGGTAGAAGTTCAACTTAGAAGTTTTGCAAAACACTGTATAAAGACACGCGCCCTAAGGCCTCGGACTACCTATCCCATTTCACCACCTCGACGCGGCAACCTCTCCCGCCTTTCGAGTTGCCTGCGGTGTGAGTCCCCATCGCCATGGCGCAGCCTCGGCAACCGCAGCAGCGGAGCGAGTTGGATGACAGACGGCGCGCCGACGAGGCGGCGCGGCAGCTGCCGATTTTGGAGTACGAGGAGGCGATCCTGAGCGCCGTGGCGGCCTACCCCGTGACCGTCGTCATCGGCGCCACTGGATCCGGTGAGCGCGCTCTCGCTCGCCCCCCTCGCCTTCCACTTGCTCGTCCGTCCGCCGCGGTAGCTATAGAATTCAGCACCGATGGGCACAGCTCGCGGCATGCAACAGCGGCCTAGAGAAACCACGTGTGCCGGGTGCGCGTCGTTGCATCACGTGCCGGTGACGGACTTAAAACCGGAGTCCCAAACAGCCCCAAAGTGCCTCAACCTTCCTAACTTTGAGAGGGGGTGACCCAGTAGGTACGACTCACTTCGCAAATCGGGGGGACAATTTTCGTCACGCGAAACTACTGTTCTAGCGAGGACGAAACCAGTTCTGACGTTGCATTCCAGATCTGGTTATTTTCGCGAAGTTTTCTTCCTTTGCGACCCCAGACCACCAATTTCGACACCACCCTGGCTCGCGAGCCAGTCACCTTTCTCTCTCCTTTCAACTTTCCTAACTTAGAAACTCTTGGACCTCCGGTTTTAACCTCTCCTGCCTTCCCCCCCCCCGTGTTGCCCCCAGGCAAGAGCACGCAGCTCCCGCAGATGCTGTACCGCGCGCAGTTGCGCCAAGCGGGGGAGCCACCAGCGGAAGGCGAGAAGACGCGCGGAATTGGGCCGCGCGCCATTGCCGTTACGCAACCGCGCAGAGTGGCGGCCGTGTCGGTGGCTAGGTGAGGACGAGCGGGTGGGGGTTGGGGAAGATACGGTTGGGGATGGGGGAACGCACCGACTGAGTGGCGGATAGCTGCTTTCAGCGCACAGCACAAACCTGCCTGCGTCACACACACCCCTGCCCGTGCATGCATGCACACATGCGTCCAACCGGGCCGCCGCCATGCATGCGCACATGACTGCTCTCGCCTCTGCTGCCCGTCCCTCTCTGCCACCCCATGCGCCGCGTGCCCCTCAGGCGAGTGGCGGAGGAGCTGGGCGTGGGGCTGGGCGGCGAGGTGGGGTACGTGGTGCGGTTCGAGGACCGCAGCAGTGCCGCCACGCGCATTGTGTTTCAGACGGACGGGTGCCTGCTGAGGGAGCTGCTGGGCGACCCACTGCTCACGCGCTACTCTGTCATCGTGCTGGACGAGGCGCACGAACGCAGCCTCAACACGTACGTGCTCATGCGCGCCTGCCCGCTGCCCCATTGCCTGCTCTCCCTGCATCCTCTCTCTTGCTGCGTCGCAGCACCACCAGTGTCGCTTGCTCCCTCTCTCTCGCCCCGCAGTGTGCAAAACCCTGAACTTGTCTGCCTTCCTTGGTTGCAGAATCACAAGCACCTCCAACTGTTTCCTCCCCCCCTCTCCTGCCTTTCCTGTGGACCTGCTGCTGCCCCCTGCCGCCCTATCGCACAGGGACATCCTGTTTGGGCTGCTGAAGCGCCTGCTGGCAGTGCGCAGGGACGACCTGAAGGTGCTGGTGACGTCAGCCACGTTGGACGGCAACAAGTTCTCGGCGTTCTTCGGGCACTGCCCCGTGGTGGACGTGCCTGGCCGCCTGCACCCCGTGCAGCTGCTCTACAGTACGGACCGCCCCGCCAGCTACTTCCAGTCCGCCATCGAGACCGCCATTGGTGCGTACCGTGCCGTGCCCTGCCCTGCCGTGCCGTGCCCTGCCCTGCCCTGCCGTGCCGTGCCCTGCCCTGCCCTGCCGTGCCGTGCCCTGCCCTGCCCTGCCGTGCCGTGCCGTGCCGTGCCCTGCCCTGCCGTGCCGTGCCGTGCCGTGCCGTGCCGTGCCGTGCCGTGCCGTGCCGTGCCGTGCCGTGCCCTGCCGTGATGCTGGGCTGCAGGGAGCGGAGGGCGTGGGGAAGCAGGGAAGGCGTGCATAAATGTGGGTTGCAGTAGGACGCCCATCAGGGAAGCCTCGAGCTCTCCACACCGTCCTGCCTTGCTGGACGCCCATCATTGGCTCCACATGTGACTGTGCAATTGCCCGTTGTATCCTCTCCTCTGCTTTGCTCCTCTGCCTATCCCCTCCCCCCCCTCTCTCCCTCGGGCAGACATCCACATGGGGTCAGAGCCTGGGGACATTCTGGTGTTCCTGACGGGGCAGGACGAGATAGAGCGCGCAGTGGCGGCCATGGAGGAGCGCATTCGCAGCAGCGACCACGGCCACTGCATGGACGCGCTCATCCTGCCGCTGCACGCCTCGCTGCCGCCCGAGCTGCAGGTGCGCTGTACTGTACATGTGCACGCTGGGCCTTGCTGCATGCTCTGCTGGGCACTGCGCTGCCCTGCTTGTTACGATAAGAATGAATTGATAGAAAATGTGAAGTACAACCCTAGATATAGCAAACCCTAATCATGCAAGTAAGTAGAAACGTAACACCTAGACTAACCTAAACAACACATATAAAATATATGTTGACACACCCCCATAGTCTAGGTGACGGAAGTCCTGTAGAAACAACAAGAGCAAGCAACGGTCACAAGACCAGTCTACAAGAACAAGACAAATCTCAGGGTGGAGCTCAAAGTCACCACACACTCCGAGAGCAAGCAAGAGGCCACAAGGCCAGTCCACATGCAGGTATATAGCAAATATAAAGAGATGCAAGAGTACAAGACATGCAGAACAAGGCATCTCTAAGCAAGCAAGTGAGGACGGGCAGGCACAAGGCCAAGCTGGGTGCAGAAACGCTGGTGGTCACAAGGCGGCAACGCCTTGGTGAAGATATCTGCCGTGTTTGCCTCAGAGACCACACGTCGAACGAGTGCCTGTCCACGCTGCTGCAACTCACGCAGAAGGAAGTAACGAAGCTGGATGTGCTTCGCCTTCCCAACCAGTCGGGGCTCCTCACACAACAGGACAGCAGACCTGTTGTCGGCGAACAAGACTGGGGGAGAGCGAGGCCGCTCACCAAGGTCGGTGAGAAGGAAAGACAGCCAGCGAAGCTCCTGAGCGGCCATGGCCGCAGCGTACACCTCTGCCTCACAGCTGGAACCGGCGACAGACGACGCCCGAGTCGACCGCCACAAAACAGCACCTGCCCCGAGGCTAAAGGAGCCCTGTGTAGACCGACGCGTCTCCGCGTCGTCGGCCCACGACGAGTCCGAGTAACCTGTGAGTGTAACTGGCTGCTTCCCTCCAAGGACAAGTCCCATGCCTGATGTACTCGCCACATACTTCGCCACCCTCTTAGCAGCGTACCAGTGGGAAGATCGGTGTCTCCCAGGCGCAACAAAGCGCGCAAGGACGCTAAGAGGGTAAGCTAGGTCTGGGCGAGTACAGGTCATCAGGTACATGAGACAACCCACCAGCTCAGGATATGGACCACTGGACTCAAATGACTCGTCCGAAGGTGGAGCCGTGAGCCCATGATCCACACCAAGAGGGGTGAGCTGTACCTTGGAGAACGGGAAGCGAAACCGCGTGAGGATCTGCTCCACCATATGCGACTGAGTCAGCGTAATGGTGCGAGCTGCCCTGTCCCTGGTGATCTGCAGGCCAAGGTAGTGCTGCAGCTCACCAAGGTCAGTGCAAGTGTGTCTCCTCTGCAGTTCCTCCTTCACGGAGGCCAGCGCGCGTCGGTCGGGAGTGGCGAACACTAGGTCGTCGACGTAGACCAGGACAAAGAACGGGGTCGAGCCACGGCGAACGAACAGTGACGGGTCAGCAGACGACGGAAAGAAGTCAAGAGCTGCAAGGGTCGAGCGAAGTGTGTCGTGCCACTCACGTGGGGCCTGACGCAGGCCGTAGACTGGTCGACGCAGCTGCCACTGGGTCCCAGGTGGGAAAGAGCCAGTGAAGCCAGGCGGGCGACGCAGCCAGATCTGCTCGTGCAGGCTCCCCTGAAGGAACGCGGTGGAAAAGTCCAAGGAGTGCAACTCGTAGTCGCGCTGGGCTGCAATATGCAGCAACACCCGAAGAGTACTCATCTTCGGGGTGGGAGCGAAGGTCTGGAAGAAGTCCACCCCCTCTCGCTGACTGAAGCCTCTCGCAACATAGCGTGCCTTGAACACAGGTGGTGATCCAGGCGGCCGCTTGACCTTGTAGAGCCATCGGCCACTGACGACATTCGTCCCAAGTGGTGGGACTGCGTCGACGTAAGTGCCTGTGGACCTATAAGATGCCATCTCTGCCTCCTCAGCTGCTATCCAGTACGAAGCCCAGGGTCCCGAGACCGCCTCGGCGTGAGTGCGAGGGATCGGGATGTCAAGGGCGTCTGGATCCCCCTCAGGGGCAAGCAGCATGGCGCAGAGATGAGGAACAGCGGCCGCAAGAAAACCAAGCTCGAACTGCCTGTCCTCTACGACCTCCAGGGGAAAGACAGGAGCACCCCCAGAGGACGGAGAACGTGCAGGGCCACTCACCAAGTGAGCGGCGTAGTCAAGGCGGTGGGAAGAGGCAAAGCCAGAGACAGTGGTAACAAGTGCTGAGACAGACGACAGAGGTGCAGTCGGGTGAGTGACCAACGCGGACAAAACACGGGAGACGACAGGACGGGAGGCACAGAGGTAGTCGGACAACGGGTCGTGAAGCACAGTGAGGGACGACTCAGGGGGATGTGGAAGGACAGGAGGAGGTGGAACACGAGAGCGGAGAACAAGGTGAAACGGATCGTCTGCACGGTAACGGGACCGACGAGGCTGTGGAGACACAGCACGACTGAGGGGAGGACGACGAGTCCACTGGGAGGAGGAAAGGGACTCAACTGGTGGAACAGGAGGGGACGACAGGGGACCACGAACAAAGCGTGCAGGTGCTGGGTCGGGGAGGTCGCGTAGTCGCAGTCGCTGCTGCTCCGCCTCCTCTGGCGTCTGCTGCGACGGTACCGGCCCCTGCTGCTGCTCCTGTGGCTCCGCCTCTGCCCTCTCCTGCTGCGGCTGCAGCTGTACCCGCTGCTGCGACCGGGACTCCTGCGCTACCCTCTCCTGCTGCTGCCGTGACTCCTCCTCTACTCTCTCCTGCTGCGTCTGGAACTGCACCTGCTGCTGCGGGTGGGACTCCTGCTCTACCCTCTCCTGGTGCGGCCGTGACTGCTCCTCTACTCTCTCCTGCTGTGTCTGTAACTGCACCTGCTGCTGCGGGCGGGACTCCTGCTCTACCCTCTCCTGGTGCGGCCGTGACTCCTCCTCTACCCTCTCCTGCTGCGGCTGCAGCTGCACCCGCTGCTGCGACCGGGACTCCTGCGCTACCCTCTCGTGCTGCTGCTGTGACTCCTCCTCTACTCTCTCCTGCTGCTGCTGCTGCTGCTGCTGCTGCTGCTGCTGCTGCTGTGCCCTCTCAAATCGCTCACGCTCCTCCCTCTCCAACCGGAGGAGACGCTGCTCACGGGTCAGGAAACGTACAGTGCGCGGTGTAGGCGCCACAGTGCCAGTGCCTCCAGCTCCAGCACCCCCAGAACCAGCACCTCCACCACCGACACCCCCGGGGCCTCCAGTACCTCCCGCAGGAACACCCCCAGGCTCCGCAGCAACCGACCGCAGAGAAGAAGGAGGAGGAAACTGCGGGACGGACGGGAAGCCAGGGGGTGAGGCAGGGCGAGGCCGCCGAGTCGAGGCTGCCGTGTCCTCCACAGGAGTGACCTCCACGCCCACAACCCCTGCACCCCCAGAGCCGACACCACCAGCTCCTGCAGCCCCAGTACCCTCACCCTCCGCAACTGCACCTCCCGCACCCCCAGACACGACAGGGACTGGACGCTGCGGGGGGGAAGACTGCGGAGTGACGTGCGACACACCTGACGGGGCAGGACGCGAAGGGGGGGGGGCTACCGGGGCGACTGGTGGGGGCTCAAGGGTGAGGAACAGCGGGGGGGAAAAGGCCTCAGTACCTCGGTGGGGGCGACTCCTGTAGTAACAGACAGACTCGTCGAACGTGACGTCCTGCGAAGCGAAGAACTGGTAGGTGACCGGGTCGTAGAACACCCAGCCGGAGGCGTCCAAAGGGAAGCCAAGAAAGACGCAGGCACGAGTGCGCGGAGACAACTTGTTCGCGCCAGGGGCGCGAACGTGAGCCAGACAACCCCAGACGCGGAAGTCAGCTGCTACGCCCGGAGATCCTGTCCAAAGGGAGACCGGCGTCACCCTTGGCCGTGCGTCACTGGGCCACAGGTTCAGCTGGTGCGCGGCGTAGCGGACTGCCTGGGGCCACAAGAACTGGGGGGCACCGGCATGGCACATGGAGGTCCGGGCAACCTCCATGACCAGGCCGATGCGTCGCTCGGCTACCCCGTTCTGCTGCGGTGATGCTGGTAGCGTGTAAGACTGGATGATCCCCCGACCCTGACAGAACGTCTCCAGGCGAGTGGAAGAAAACTCACCACCACGGTCCGAGTGTAGGCGAAGCCCACACAGGCCCTGGGCGCCACCCCACGCTAGTAGCCACGGCTCGAGGACGGTAGGCACGTCGGCCTTCCGTCGCAAGGGGAAAACCGTGGTGTAGCGGGAGTAGTCGTCCACCACAATCAGGAAGTAGCGCTCCTGACGTGGGCCAAGGACCGGAGAGGGGCCCCAGACGTCCAAGTGCAGGGTCTCGAAGGGAGCCGTGGTGGGGGGGAACGAGGAGGAGTGAGGGGCAGCGCGCTGCCGACCCTCGACGCAAGGAGTGCACAGCGGCGCAGGCGAGCGGGGAAGCGGTGCAAGCGACCCTGGGAGACCTGAGACCAGACGGTAACGTGCCATCCTACTGAGACGCGGGAACGACGGGTGACCTAGACGGTGGTGCCAGAGGACCGACGGGTGGGTGAGGGACCGACAGTCACACGACACAGCAGCTACCTGACCTGACCTGACCTGACCCGACTCAGTGTGGTGGGACCCAGTGTGTAGTGAGTACAGACCAGATCCCGGCTCTCTGTGGAATGTGGCCAGGGGCGCCCCAGTGGCACCGACAGTGCAGGAGGCAACAGGCTCGTCCAGTGGGAAAGTAGTGACTACGCCTAGGTCGTGAAGGTGACTGACACCCACCAAGTTCCTAGAGAACGAGGGGGTGTAGTAACCTGTAAGAAAACCTGAGGGAGCCGCCGGACACGGAAGAGTGGTGGTGCTGCTAGCAACTACACGTCCCACAGAGGGGTCAGCCAAGGCGACAGTGACTGGAGTGCGCAGTGGTGTGAGGTCGGTACAGTCGCGAAAGAAACAGCTGGACGCTCCAGAATCTAGGGTGAAGGAAAGCTGTGCAGTCTGTGGGGTCGCACCCGAACCAGCTACAAAGGCTAGTGCTAGACTAGTGGTAGCTGCAGCTTCTACACAAAGACCCTCAGAGGCGCCGGGACTGGAAACAACACACGCACCAAGACTGGAAACACAGGTCTCTACTCGTGCAGCCGGAAAGGGTCCTAGACCAGGCAGGTGAGACTCAACTGGTGCAGTAGTGCGCTGGCGAAGGCGCGAAGGCCAGTGCGGTGTAATAGCGTGAGGACCAAAACGCTCACGGTGGAGGTCGTCGAGTCGACGGTAGCAGCTGGACGCAGTGTGGTCAGGACTCCAGCAGGTAGTGCCAGCACCAGGGCCTGTCAGGGCCCGGTACCCGCAGGGGCCGACGTCTCGCCCACTGCTAGCTGAGCCACTGCTGGGGGCGCCACACTTTGGACCCGCAGGCCCCAACTGACGGGAGTGCTGCGGCTGGCCCTGCTGCTGTAGAACCCTAGTACATGCCATGTGAGCCTATGCTGCTACTGGTTCTGCTGAGGGCAGCCTAAGCTGCTGCTGGTGCGCTGGGGGCAGCCTGTGCTGCTTCTGGTTCTGCTGAGAGGCAGCCTAGGCTGCTACTGGTTCTCCAGGGGGCAGTCAATGCTGCTGCTAGTGCGCAGGCAGTTGCCTAAGCTGCTGCTGGTGCGCTGGCGGTAGCCTAAGCTGCTGCTGGTGCGCTGGGGGCAGCCTATGCTGCTGCTGGTTCGCTGGGGGCAGCCTATGCTGCTGCTGGTTCTGCTGGTTCTGCTGGTTCTGCTGGTTCTGCTGGTTCTGCTGGTTCTGCTGGTTCTGCTGGTTCTGCTGGTTCTGCTGGTTCTGCTGGTTCTGCTGGTTTTGCTGGTTCTGCTGGTTCTGCTGGTTCTGCTGGTTCTGCTGGTTCTGCTGGTTCTGCTGGTTCTGCTGGTTCTGCTGGTTCTGCTGGTTCTGCTGGGGGCAGCCTACGTTGCTGCTGGTGCGCTGGGGGCAGCCTATGCTGCTGCTGGTGTAGCTGGCGGCAGTGTAATCGGCTGGGGCTACTGACGGCGGGTGTGGTAGGTCGTGGGGAGGCAGGTTTCAGGTGGGGAAGCTGTTAAGGCAGCGGGCTACGGGTGAGGCGGCGGTTCTGTGCAGTTCTGTGCGGTTATGTGCAGTACTGTGCGGTTCTGTGAGGTTCAATGCGGTGGAGAGGACTGGGTGGGGCAGCTGATTCCGGGTGAGGTGCCTGGAACGGGTGGGGCAGCAGGTTTCCAGGTGGGGCGGCGGTTGTCAGGTCTGGGGCGGTGGTTTTCAGGTGGGGAAGCTGTTAAGGCGGCGGTTCTGTGCGGTTCTGTGCGGTTATGTGCAGTTCTGTGCGGTTCAATGCGGTGGAGAGGACTGGGTGGGGCGGCTGATCCCGGGTGAGGTGCCTGGAACGGGTGGGGCAGCAGGTTTCCAGGTGGGGCGGCGGTTGTCAGGTCTGGGGCGGCGGTTTTCAGGTCTGGGGCGGCGGGTTTCCAAGTTCGGCGGCGGTTTTCAGGTCTGTAATGGCGGGTTTTCAGGTCTGGGGGGCGGTTAAGACGGTGGGCTGCACGTGCGCGCGGCCGCGACGTACTAGCGCGAAGCTGCGGGTGCGACTAAGGCTGCGCGCGCAGCTATGCGCGTTCGTCTGCTGCGCGCTAGAGGGCTGGGGGGAAACGCGCGGGGTAAAACGAGTGGGGCGCGGGGCAGAAAACGAGTGACGCACGGCGAAAACGGGTGGGGCGCAGGGCAGAAACGGGTGACGCGCGATGTCGACGGGGGGGCGCGACCTACTCGGGCTCTACGGGGCAGGGCGCTTCGGGCTATGGGTCGCTACGAGGCGCGCGGGTGGTGGGCCCATAGACTATCGAGAGAAATTTCGCCTAAGGGAAAAAATCGCCTAGGGGAAAAATCGCCTAAGGGAAACCTAGCTCTATACCATGTTACGATAAGAATGAATTGATAGAAAATGTGAAGTACAACCCTAGATATAGCAAACCCTAATCATGCAAGTAAGTAGAAACGTAACACCTAGACTAACCTAAACAACACATATAAAATATATGTTGACACTGCTCAGTGCAGCCGTGGGATCGAAAGTCATCAGGTTACACGTCGGGTTGGGTTGCCTGCACAAGGCAGTCATGTGACACACTCGCAGCGCTTTGTGCCGTTACTAGTGGTGACCAGGAAGATTCGCTCTCTTGCCCCTCCCCACGCACCTGCCCCCCTCTCGCACACACTCTTGCAGTTGCTGCCGCCAGCACCCCATCGCGCCCTCCATCTGTCTCCATGCAACACTCTCCTTCCCCGCAGGTGCGAGTGTTCATGCCAGCGCCCGCGGGGTGTCGGCGCATCATAGTGGCTACGAATGTGGCGGAGACAGCGGTGACGCTGGACGGCATAGTGTTCGTGGTGGACCCGGGGCATGTGAAGCAGAAGCAGTACGACCCCAACACGCAGCTCGCCGCTCTCACTATCGTGCCCATCAGCAGGTGCGTGGGTGGGTCGTGCTCACAAGGAAGTTGACTGGGTGTGGACATGGGATGGGGAGCATGTGGTGCTGGTGGTGGGAACATGCTGTGTAGGTGCTGCAGCTTGCAGGTGCAGGTGGAGAGAACCACGCACGCATGCACCACCGCTACCCAAGCACCCAATCGCTGCTCCACCTCTCGTTTTCCCCTGCCTGCCATCCCATTCCCCCTCTCCTCCTTCCCCCCTCCGCAAAAGAGTGCAGGCTATCCAGCGGGCGGGGCGGGCAGGGCGCACTCGGCCGGGCAAGTGCTACCGCCTGTACCCCAAGTCCGTGTTCGAGCATGAGCTGCCACATGCTACCGAGCCCGAAATCTGTCGCTCCTCCCTCGCAGGTCTGCTGCCTTCGTCTGTGCGACTGCCCTCGCTCTGCTGCCAATGCTTGTCATTGCTCTTCTCTTGGCTCTTTGTTCTCCTGCACAACTCGCATTCTTATGTAGCCCAACTGACGAACCCCACCGACCTCACATGCTATCTATGCTCCACTGTCCCTGCCGTGCCTGGCCCTCTCTCTGTGCTCCGTCCCCTCACCAGGCACGGTGCTGCACCTGAAGTCGCTCACGCGCCTGGATGTAGCCCACAGGAAGCGGCGGGACGCGCAACGAGACAGCGACACACAAGCAGGAGAGGGGGGTTCAGCACGGGAGGAGGCAGGGGGCATCGGGGATGTGCTGTCATTTGAGTTCCTGGACCCACCATCGCCCTCGGCACTGGAGGACGCGCTGCTGCAGCTGTATGCGCTGCGCTGCATTGACGAGCGCGGGGCCATCACCGCCACCGGCAGGGACGTGGCGCGCCTGCCGCTGGACCCCTCTCTGGGCGTCACGCTGCTGGCCGCCCGCTCGCTGAGCTGCCTGCCTGACGCCATTGCCGTCGCTGCCATGCTCTCTGCTGATGTCAGCACGCCCTCAGGAGGAGGGAAGGATGGGGGCAGGAGAGGAGGAGGGCGGGGAGGAGGTGGAGGGGGGAATTTGGTGGCGCTGCCGGATGGGGAGGGGTATGGCGATCACATACGGTGGTTGCAGGTATACCGTGGGTGGGAGGCGTCGGGGTTCCAGGCGTCGTGGTGCAAGCAACGAGGCCTGCAGGTGTGCTACCATGCATTGCCTCTTTACGCCTTCCATGGTCTCTTCCCACCACTCTTGCTACTTTCGTACACAGGTAGTTTCAGGTTGCCAAATTCTGGAATTACCAGCACAGAAAATTGATTTATTAGTTTTTGAAACGCCTTTCTCTCTCAACAGTCTTTAGAACGCCTTTCTGTTCTGGCGACACAGTTTTTTGCACACCTTTCTTTCCCAACCATAATTGTCACGCCCTCCTTGACACACCAACGTTTTCTTTTACGCTTAAGTGTGCGACGAAGCTTCCAAGCCACACCCCTCCAACTTCCCCCACTCTCTGTCGTGCGTGCCACTCAGCTCAGGTCCATGAACTTTGCACGGGACGTGGCTCGCCAGCTCACTGCTGCTGTCCCCTCACACTCATCCCGCACCACTTCCAATCGCTCATCCGCTCCCCCACCCACTTCCAAAGAGGGTAGAGACATGAGAAGTGGCAAGGCAGACGGGGCAGGCGGGGTTGTGGAAGGCAGCAGGGACAGCTGGGCGGCACTGAGGCACGCTCTGACGGTGGGGTCGGCGAACAAGCTTGCACGGCGCATGCGGCAGCACAATGGGTATAAGACGGTGCACGCTAAGTCACGCCTGGTTGAGGTGAGCCACACTGTCGCTTCTTGTGGCGCCACTGCTGTCCTCTCCGATCACTTCTTCTCATCGTCATCACCATTCCCAGCCCTCCACTGGCCCTCTCATTCAAATCTGCAGTGCCCCCCTCACTCTGCTTCTTTTGCTCTGCTGTGCACATGTCCCACCCACGACACCACAATCCGCTCACTCCACTACATCACGCTCCTTTCCTTCCCCCAGGTGCACCCAGCGAGTGCAGCGCTGGCAGTGGATGAGGAGGGGCTGCTGCCGGAGTGGGTGGTGTACCAGGAGATAGTGGCCACCACGCGCGCCTTCATGCGCTGCGTGTGCGCCGTGGACGAGCCCTGGGTGCAGCCGCTGCTGCCGCGCCTGCATGATGTGGACGTCACCCGCCTCAGGTACGTCCTGCATTCAGCATTCCTAGGGCCCGGCCAATATGCCTGTAAAAACAAATATCGAGTCGAGTACGAATACTTATTTTCGAATATTTTGCGAATAAGTGTTCAAAATCGTATTTGACCGAATACCTGCTCCACGTCGATTACGAATACGAGTCGAATTCTGGCGGTTTCGAATCGAATACGAATGTGCCAGGAATACAGACGTTCCACACTCAAATATGGGCTATCCGTTCTACCGACTTTTATGAGGTCTCACCACTGTGGCTGTTATTCATACATCTCTATGTGTCAATTTCTCGACCATTCAGCTTGCGATTCTTGACATACATACTTCCAGTCATCCCTCACTGAGTTAGTACCTGATGTGCAATATAGCGTAAACGGCTTACTGCTTCGCATTGAGTGTCAAAGTAGACTGCTCTACACATGGTATAAGCCCCCAAATCTTGAAAGGCTTATATTTTCGCAGTCCACAGTATGTTAGATAGGGAAGAGGAGAAGAGATGGAGACACGAATGTCTCTCGAGTACTCGAAAAATTGTCGAACGAATACTTGCTCGAAAATAATACTTGACGATCGAATACATGCGAATAGCATGCCAAATTCGGATTCGTTTTTTGGGCGAGTATTCGATTGAATCCCGAATACCATTCGAATGCCAATCTATCATTTACAGGCATACCGGCCAACAAAAGGTGGGGCAGAGAAGGCCGGGAATCAAGGCAGGAGGATTCGCTAAACCCTAAAATGGGGCTGCATAGTCTGGGATTCCATCCACCCACTCCGGCAACCACAGCATGCCAAGGCTGAGAGGTTACCTCACCATCTTGTTCGTGTGTTCTTCGTTCCCCTTAACAGTGGTGGAGACACGGCAGCTTCTGCGAAAGAGAAACAAGCCAAGGAAGATTCAGCTGCACAAACAGCAGGTGTTGGCAAGGCAGCTCGAAGCACAGGAGGTTCGGCCGTTTCTGCTCCAGCTAAGGCTGCAACCGTGGATGCAGCACGGGCCAGGTACCTTGCAAGGAAGAAGTCTAAGCTGGGGTAGTACCTGTATGGCCCCGGCCCAGATATACGCCCCTAGTGGTTATGGCCTTTTTTTGCAAGGGGCTTGTTATCAACCTGTTTCTTATCGCCCTCCGACTTATCCTAGACACCCACTTTACCTGTTTACATCGAAAAAACATCAAAGACAACCTCTACAGCGATTTTCCTTCTGGAAAGAGGGCGTGTTGTGTGTGTTATCGGCATTGGTTTTATCACCCATTCCCTCATCTAAAAACAATCTTCAAAACTTGAAGGTAATCCCTTGTCAGAATAACGAAGCGAGAATGAATGAACTAGCAACAAGATGGGTACAATACTAACCCTAAGTTGTGTTGTACCCGATATTGGCTACCCCACTACAGCCTACACTACATGCAACATATAAGTTTGACACACCCCCATAGGCAAAGTGGGGGAGAACAAGAGGTCACACGACCAGTCAAGAAAAGCAAAGCAAGCTCAGGGTGGATCACGAAATCTCCACACACTCTGAGCACAAGCAAATGGGCACAAGGCCAGTTCACATGCAGAGTTATATAAATGGAGAACAAGTAGTACAGACAGTGAACCAAACCTAGCAAGTTACTGTAGCAAGTGTAAGCATGCATGTATAAATATATATATCACAGTACAAGTAAAGTCAAGAAGTCAGCAGGGCTTACTTTATCAAACATTTTTGGTCTGAATTTCTGGATTCTGAACACATTTTTACTGGTTCATCTAATGTCGGAGACATGCTGATTAATTTCGTCTGATTTTTAAGAGAAGCTTTTTCTATTCGTCTGATTTCTCAGACAGCCTTATACAGTTCATCTGAGACTGCAGATATCAACTCTTTTTCGTCTGAAGGCATAACTTTCAAAATATGTCTGCACCTGCCTGGCAGTAGCAAGAGACAAGATTCGATCCGGAAATCTCAGACATCACAACTCTCTATTCCACTTGCTGGACCATTAAACTAAACTTGACTCCCCTATTTATAGTTTAATCGTATATTGCTTGCTAGCTTTATATCTTCTCAGAAATCTCAGACAAGTATTTAGGATTCGTCTGAAAAGCTAGACAATGTTATAGCTTTCGTCTGATACTCAGACAAGGAGCCAGGACCCGGTCTTGACATCAGACGGGTCATTTTACTAAAGTTAGCCCTGGAAGTGAGCCTAAGTGAGGCCAAGTAGGCACAAGGCGTAAAATAGTACAGAAATGCTGATGATCACAAGGCTGAAGTGCCTTGGTGAAGATATCACCAGTGTTGGCCCGAGAGGCCACGTAAGCAAGACGAAGCTGACCATGCTGCTGCAACAGTCAAGCAAGGAAGTAACGCAGGGCGATGTGCTTCGTCCTGTGCTCCTCTCTGTGCTCCTAACACAAGGCAATCATGGCCTTGTTGTCGATGTACAGAACTAGAGGAGAATGAGGCGGCTCTACCAAGTCGGTCAGCAGGTAGTGTCAAATAATATGTATGTCATATATGTGTAGGCTTTAGTGGGGTAGCCAACATGGGGTACAACCCCATTAGGGTTTCACATTTGTACCCAACTCTTTCATAGTTCATTCATTTCCTGCTACTACATTTTAATATGGTATCAGAGCAAAGGTCTCGGGTTCGAATCCCAGTGTGTGCACTCTGGGCATCCCAGTGCGGGGGGGTGTCAGAGGTCCACTGGTGATCCTCGATTGATCCTAGGAAAGGATTACAGGCACGTTGGCCTAGGGCGTTATAGGCGCACTAACCCGCTACTTAACAAGCCCTTTTATCCCAATGGTCTAGTGGTTGGGATTCTGACATGGTTTCAGAGCACTAGGTCCGTAGGACCGTCTTTTTTTTCCGGGCCCACCTACCGCTGCGGTTACCGCGCTACCCCACGTATTGTCATGCGCTAGCCTTCGTCTGCCTTGCCTTGTGACGTGCTGCGCTTTGCGCGCCATCCTGCAGCCCTCGCGCTGCCTACTGTTGCCCTAGCTGCGCGCGCACCGCCCTACAGACCCGTAAGGCCACCGAGTCGCCCCTGCAGGCCAGTAAGGCCCGCGAGCCGCCCCTGCAAGCCCGTAAGGCCCGCGAGCCGCCCCTGCAGGCCCGTCAGGCCCGCGCCCCGCCCCTGCAGACCCGTCAGGCCCGCGAGCCGCCCAGGCAGGTCCGTCAGACCCGCGAGCCGCCCCTGCAGGCCCGTCAGGCCAGAGCGCGGCCCCGCCCTGCAGCCGATGCGGCCCCGCCGGGCCGCTGTCGCGGCCCCGCCCTGCCGCGGACGCGGCTTCGCCCTGCCGTCGACGCAGCCCCACCCTCCCACGGTCGCGACCCCGCCCTGACGCCGATGCGGCCCCGCCAGGTCGCGGCCCCGCCGACGCGGCCCCGCCCTACCGCCGTGTCGCGGCCCGCCCTGCGGCTGACGCGGCCCCGCCCTGCCGCCGACGCGGCCCCGCCCTGCCGCCGACGCGGCCCCGCCCTGCCGCCGACGCGGCCCCGCCCTGCCGCCGATGCGGCCTCGCCTGGCCTCGCCCTGCCGCCGACACGGCCTCGCCCTGCCGCCGACGCGGCCCCGCCTGGACCCACCCTGCCGCCAACACGGCCCCGCCCTGCCGCAGACGGGGCCACGCCCCGCCACCGATGCGGCCCCGCCTGGCCCCGCCCTGCCGCCGACACGGCCCCGCCCTGCAGCCGACACGGCCCCGCCCTGCAGCAGCTGCCGCGGCCCTACTCTGCAGCCGCTGTTGCGACTCCGCCGTCGCCGCCGTCGTGCGCCTGCCCTTCCCGCCACTGGTGAGCACCTGCCCTACCCACGCTTCCCGCGTGTCTGCCTTGTTAGCGCGCTGCAGCGCCATCTGCCTGCCTGCCTGCCTTCCTGCCTGCCTCGCCTGCCCTGCCCACGCTGCTACTGCTGCTACTTCTGTTACTGCTGCTAGGCTCCTGCTGCTACTGCTGCTGCTACTACTACTACTGCTGCTACTGGCGGTGGCGAGATGAAGCTCCAGCGACGTCCGCGCGAGTCTCTCACGCCCCAGAAGCTTCGTGAGTGGTACGCTAGTTGGGGTTGTCGTGGTAGCCGTCGTAGCTGTCGCCCTGGAGCTGGTCAGTTGGGAGCGTCTGGCAGTGGCCAGCTGCAGCTGCAGCGGCGCCCGCGCGAGACACTTACGCCCCAGCAGCTTCACGAGTGGTACGCTCAGAGTAGAGGGTCTCGGAGTACCGTTCGCTGCCCGTACGTCATTCGCACAGGTGATCGGGCTGGTCAGGCTTGCGGGACGCTTAGTCACACACAGTCCCGCTGCTTCGCCCGTCTGAGCGACGCCTGGCGTACTGAGTTTGGCAACGAGGCTGAGCTCCCCACCTGGCTGGAGCTGCTTAGGCAGAGGGTAGATATCTTTGCTCTTGACTATAATGCTATTCTCACTGCCATGTATGCATTGCCTACTAGTGCGAAGGTGCCTGTTACCTGTGCGTACCGCTTGACCCAGGTAAAGAGTCCGCTGCTCTAGGTGCTCGTGAGGCTGCTGTTCTGGGTGCTCGTGCGTCTCCTGCTCTAGGTGCTGGTGCGGCTGCTGCTCTAGGTGCTAGTGCGTCTCCTGCTCTAGGTGCTGGTGAGGCTGCTGCTCCAGGTGCTGGTGCGTCTGCTCTCTCTGGTACTGCGCCTGCTGAGTCCTTGTACACCTTCACACTTGACTCAGGTGCTTCCCGCTCCTTCTTTCGCGACAGCACCACCCTCACGCCGCTCAGTCGGCCGGTTGCAGTCTCCCTTGCAGACCCCTCTGGGGGTCCAGTCCTTGCGCATTCCTCCACGGTCCTGCCGTGTCCGGCGGTCCCGTCTGGCTCCCCGTCAGGCCTTCACCTCCCCTCGTTCTCTACGAACTTGGTGAGTGGTGCTGACCTCCAGGACCAGTGGGTTGACCAGTTCACTCCTGGAGGTCAGCGCGTGACCCACTGTACGTGCTCACGGACGAGCCGGCACCTGGCCACATTTACCCGTGCGCTTGGCTCGAGCCTGTACACACTGACTACTGTGTCCCCTCAGGTCGTTGCGTCTGCGTCTGCGTCAGGTCAGCTAGCGGCCCCCTGCTCGTGTCGCGCTTTGTCGCACCAGACCCTCCTTTGGCACCACCGTCTTGGTCACCCCTCGGTGCAGCACCTTCGTAGCATGCACCGCCGTGTCCTTGTCTCTGGTCTTCCCAGGGTTCTCCCTCCCCTCCCACCCTCGCCTACTCCTCTTTGTCTTCCCTGTGTCGAGGGGCGGCAGCGCGCCGCTCCTCACTCCTCCTCGTTTCCCCCGACGACTGCTCCCCTGCAGACCCTGCACATGGACGTGTGGGGCCCAGCCCGCGTCAGTGGGCAGGACCGTGAGCGGTTCTTCCTGCTGGTTGTTGACGACTACTCGCGTTACACCACGGTCTTCCCCTTGCGCACCAAGGGTGAGGTCCCTGATGTTTTGATCCCTTGGATCCGCGCTGCCCGTCTCCAGCTCCGCGAGCGGTTCGGGACGGAGTTTCCCGTCCTGCGTCTGCACTCTGACAGAGGTGGGGAGTTTTCCTCCGACCTTCTGCGGAGCTTTTGTCGTGGGGAAGGCATTCTCCAGACGTTCACGCTTCCGGCCTCTCCGCAGCAGAATGGGGTTGCTGAGCGCCGCATTGGCTTGGTCATGGAGGTCGCTCGTACCTCCATGGTCCATGCGGCTGCCCCCCATTTTCTGTGGCCGTTTGCGGTCCGCTACGCCGCGCATCAGCTCAACCTCTGGCCCCATGTCTCCTTGCCGGAGACCTCGCCCACACTGCGGTGGACGGGGAAGGTTGGCGATGCGTCGGTGTTCCGGGTCTGGGGTTTCGTGCCTTTGTCCGCGATACCTCCGCGGACAAGCTCTCCGCCCGCCCTGTTCCCTGTGTCTTCCTTGGCTTTGTCCCTGACGCGCCTGGTTGGCAGTTTTACCACCCCACCTCGCGCAGTGTCTTCCCCTCTCAGGACGTCACGTTCGACGAGTCGGTTCCCTTTTACCATCTCTTCCCCTACCGCACTGCCCC